CAAACCTGACCTTGTTGGCCCAGATCAGTGTTGTTCCGGGTTTGCAGAAATGCTTCATAGTGACCAAGAGCTCATCCAGGAAGTCGTGATGGTAAACGACGTCGGCTGCCAACACGTAGTCGTACCTGCAGACAGGTGAAGGGTAGGCGTGCTCCATATCGTAGCCCCAGGTCAGAGAGGCCACCTGAGGTGTGTGTCTGCAGCGGCCCCTGGTGTTCCTCATCAAGTTGGCTCGGAGGTTACCTAACACCTCTGGAAGGTCTGTGGCTGTGACCGAAGCTCCTGAACATAGGAGAGAGACAGAAAAAAACAAAACTGTTTATTTGCAAAAGGTCATGATGCTGCTAACATTATTACCTACTTTTTAAAAAATGACCAAAATAGGCTTTCTTTAATGTCGTTTTTGTAACCTTGCCCTGTAAATTTTATAATGATCATGTCTGGGAAGCTTTTGAGGCACTTCGATTGTGCAGTCCACATGTATTCGGTGGACCTGGCATATACTTGGATGCTCCAAGACATTTTTAGGAGTAACTTTGGAAGAATGGGATACCAAGAAGGCCTTTAAAGCTCTACTGTCTATTTATGACCAAAGCAAACAGCTGGGGCTTCTTTCTGGCCTAAGGTTGGGCTTGTTTCCAGTAAATGTGGCAAGGACTGCTCCTTGTCACTAATGCTGTTTGTGTTGTTCATGGAGATGAGCTTAAGGCATAGTTTTGGAGAAGATAGTTTCTGATTTAGGAAACGTAGAGTCTTCTTTGCATTCTTGATTATGGCAATGAGATATGGATCACCAGTTGAGGATCAACCAGCATAGAAGCATCTGGAATGGGTTTCCTGCACAGGAAATAAGTCTGATACCTCAGAGTTTGCCACTGTCAGACCAGGAACATGCTGAAGGGAGTATCCTTTTTGGATGGGGGGCAACCCAACCAAAAATACCAGCTTATTAAGTCTTCCACTTCAGGAATAATTACTACCTAATTATTTTTCCATTTATTTCTGGTCAAATCATTATGTTTTTTTCTGAGTCAATTTCTGATTAAATGTCCATAGTGACTGCTCACCCAGTAAACTGGCCACTATGGCTACCAATCCAGTTCCTGCTCCTAGTTCCAGCACCTCTTTTCCCTGCAGGTCCACTGTGTGTTTGTTGTTTTCAAGGTAGGAGCACAAAGCCAGTGCCTAAAAAAACATGAAGAAAGACCCAAAACAAAATGGTTGATCTGGTTAAGTCAATAAAGGTTATGCAGACTTTTTCCTAACTTAAAAAAACAAAGTGTGCACAGAAAGACTCACAGCTGGCCACATCATTGCTCCGAATGAATCAATAGACTCATATATGACGATGTCCTGTCCTACGTAGTGGTAGATGTCTTTGTCAGGGCGGCATATGATGCTTGGAGCCCAGTTCCGCCGTACGGCTGTCTGGTTCAGATGCTCCTGCTCTGCAGGGACCAACAGACATTTGCTGTAACTTGGTTAGCAAACACAATACATAAAATGTTGAATCAAAAGCTTGATATGGGCAACTACAAGCAATGCATGCAACTTGTTTTACATAATTGGAACGACAAATAAGCAAGATTCTAAGAAGAAAGAAACTATCTTCCTTTAAAGGTCAGACACTCTGCACCACAAGGTCCAGCACCTTAGTCCTCTGTGCTATCTCAGGAAAGTTATGCTTTGGCTTCACTAGTTTTGGCTTTCACTTGCATCTCAGATTTATGTCACAGCAGTCCTGCCAATCTCATTAAAGCTGTTTTTTGCACTTTAGAGTCTGCTGGCAAATGAGCACGTATTTCTTCCAGTAGAGAAGAGAAAGATTAGCAACCAAAACAAACACCCAACAGCTCAAAACATGAATACATTCCCTCTATGTACTACTATTTCTTTTAAGCTACAGGCGCTCTATGCAAGCCAAGACATTGTTTTCATGGAGGTTTTGGTGAGTACACTTTGTTAAACATTTATAATATGCAAACAGCCCTGGCATATCTTTTGATGGATGAATGACTGATTTGCACTGGCAAATAGCTCACCAGAAATGCTTTCAACAATCTCCTTCTGTTCATCAGTTTTACTGTCTTCTGAGGTCACCGTTTCCTCTTCCTCACTTTTGAGCTTTTTTTCTTCTTCTACCTCCTGTTCTCCACTATCTTCCAGTCTATCAGACCCCACCTCCTGACAGGCACAGTACAGTTTGTCATCACAGCTTTCTTCCTCTCCAGTCTTCGCATCCACTTCTCCCAACAGATCTTTGATTTCGAGCTTCTGATCCATTTCAAAATCTCCTTCCCTACTTGTTGCCATGAATATCTTCATGTCCCCTTCTTCAGTCAGTAAACTTGTGTGAAAAGCTTTTTCAAAGTTCTCAGTGAACACCAGATCAGTCTCAAACCTGACCTTGTTGGCCCAGATCAGCGTTGTTCCGGGTTTGCAGAAATGCTTCATAGTGACCAAGAGCTCGTCCAGGAAGTCGTGATGGTAAACGACGTCGGCTGCCAACACGTAGTCGTACCTGTAAACAGGTGGAGGGTAGGTGTGCTCCAGGTCGTAGCCCCAGGTCAGAGGGGCCACCTGAGGTGTGTGTCTGCAGCGGCCCCTGGTGTTCCTGCTCAGATTTACTCTGGTGTTGTTCAAAACCTCTGGAAGGTCTGTAGCTGTGACCCAGCTACCTGAAACATAAACCAACAATCAAAAGCATAAAGGAATAAAATCGCTGCTGTTTAAGAATCTGCTGACAGATTCGTATACTCTCACACACCGAGGAGTGCCGCGACCACAGACACAAGGCCAGTTCCTGCTCCGATTTCCAGCACAGCTTTGTCAGTGAGATTCAGTTGATCCCGATGAGTATCCAGGTAGTGGCAGAGAGCTAAAGCCTTGGGGAAACAACAATATCCTCATTGTCAGTATGCAAACCGCTTATTATGTTCACAAAAAAGTTTCATAATGTCAGTCATCTGTCAGTTTTCATCATTGAATGTGTCAGATGTGTGTCAGCAGTTTGTTTTCAACAGTGATTTTCCCACAAGAACAATGTTAATACTAAAATATTTGAACATACTGAAAGGATCCCATGTAACTAAATGTAGATTTGCACACAGAATCTGCAATTTCGTTGTGCATCTATAGTGATTCCCACATTGCAGTTGGTTAGGGTTGGGAGTTGAGAGGATTTGCTACTAGCTCAGGGTTGATTTGCGTGAAAAACCCCAATAGAAAGAATAGAAACAAAAAGTGAGAAGTGTAGAATTTTGCCTAGAATACTTCCATCATGTGCATAGAAAAGGAAATCTAATTGATGTAATTTAAATCAAAATGTTTCTGAATATTTCAAACCCTCATGCTTGAAAGTGTATCAAATCATCCGAGTCTAAAATGAACATTTAGTGGTTGAATTAGAACAAGTTTAAAGGATATGTCTTTCATGAGCGCCCCTAAAGTTGAATGTTCTTTCTAAAGAGAAGCATGGCTGAAATGATACTGCTACACAAGGATTTTTCTACAAATGTCACAACCAGCACCACTCACCCCGGGCCATATCATGCCTGCATATGAGTCCAGACCCTCTTCGATGACTATCTCATGGCCGACGTAGTTGTACACCTCTTTGCCCACTCTGTTATAAAAACATGGACCCCAGGTGGCCAGTTTTTGTTGCTTTCCCTCAGTTAATTTCGTTTGTGGATCATCTTAAAGAAATAAATATGGTAGTTTCAAAAGCATTGATGAGTAATCCTAACATTGATACTGCAATGGTTAAAAGTTACCTTTGTTTTCTTCTTCCTTTTCTTCAGCCTCATCTTTCTCCTTTTCATGTTCACCCCCTGTATCTTCCACAAATGGCGAACCTTCCATGTTGAAGTACTTCATGATGTTGGGAAGAAGGTAGTTTTCATTTAATTTCAATTTCTAATGATCACTTATGCCTTTACTTATATTAAGCAAAAAAGATAGATAAGATAGATAGACCACGTTTTGTTTAAAAGTTTAAAGAAACGTCTTTCTTACCTGTTAGTTTTGAGCCGATGTGGCTTTAATTCCCATTTAAAAAGCCCCAACTGTGTCTGGACACCTTGGAAGGCGATGTTATAGACCCTCAGCATCCAGCAGGACACTCCCATCATCATTACAAGGGCAGAGGGATATTTTTAGAGCTGTGCTCATTAGGAATAAACACAAGGCTTGGTAGGGGGCACAAAGGTTCAAATGCACAAACAAAAAAGAGATGGAGGAGGAGCCAAATGGAAGAAGAAACTAAGCCATAGTAAGTTTGGTAAGCTTTGCTTCAGCTGCTATTTGTTGGTGGTCCATCTGCAGATGAGCAGGAAGGGGTCCTTAATGTGATAGGAAAAGAGGAAATAATAAATTAGGTTCAAACAGATCTAAAACATGATGCTAATGTGACAATATTACTGCGTTTACTTGGTCTATTACACCTAAAGGAAAACATAGGATGGGTTTTAGTCTGTAGCAAAACCAAGGATATGATTTCTGTTTGGCGTGGTGGTATCTTGGCAGGGAGCGGATGAATGTGTGTGTTATCACTGTTCACTCTGTTTGACACCCATATGCAAAGTCTGAGAATGGACATGTGCTGAATATGTCACGATTAAAAGGTAACCTGATAAATGGTGCATTGTTTACTAAACTCTTAAATCCTGGAAAACATTCATCAAACCCACTATGCATATTTTAAAACAATTAACTGACAGACAGTAATATCGATGGTTACTTTTTAAGGCAAGAAAAAATACTGTTTCTGGTGTCACAAAAATCACTATTAGTAAATAGTTTGGGTTCTTTTTTCCGCAAAAGAGCTCTAAAACTCGGGTGGGGCAGTTGGTGAAAACAAACAGTCTATTTAAAATTAGTCACGTACTCTGGGATGCCTTCATGTGGCTTGCTCGCTTTTCCAGCAATGGCCTCAATTGCTTCAGCAGAGATGGGGGGTAAGAGGATCAGGCTGGAATGCATCCCGCACGTATCAAGCTGTGGAGAAAATAAGGGGGCTCCAGTGTCAACAACGTCTGACGTCTACTCCCAGGGTCAGGAATTGTCATCTACAGATTTCAAATCCCAGAATTTTGCTCTTCTCATTTGCTTTTTTTAAAGTTCATAGCTATAAAGTCACTTATTTTGTTAATCAGGCTTAGTTCTTCAAGAAATGGCTTTTTTTGCCTGATGACAGACAGAAAATGAACTCTAGTCTTTGAAGGAGTTTCTTTTTTTTTTTTTTTTTTGTATTAGCAGGTTGTCAAAAGAGTAATAAAGTTAATAGATATTCCCATAAGGCTACATGCAGACTTCAGCTGTTGGGTATTTATTTGTCTTGACAAAGGCAGAGGTATTTACTGCCTGACAGCTTAAATAACCTGCTTCCCTTTAATCCATCTCTTTAACACAGCTTGGTTGACATGCATCCACCAGAACCACCAGGAATGAAGCGACAGAAAACGACCCTGAAAAGCTCGGGGGATTTGGAACGATTGAAGTATCAAATTTAATGGGTCACATTTATAGCAAGCTGACTCAAACTTGCTCCTTCCCATGTAGTCAAACTAACTGGTGAGTTTCCAGGATATGGAGGAAATTAGTCCTGCTGTGGTGTTCAAGTTACTTTAGCAGCAACCATGCTGCCATTAAAGGAGAACTAAAGGTTTGGTGTTTACTCTGTGCCCCTAAAACTGCTGAGCATGTGATTTCTGACTTTTAACAATTTAATCATTCTATGAAAACATACAAACATAACATTCACTGAAAGACTTTTGTATAAATGAGTCTTAAAATGATTGATCCAAGATGTTGCATATTCACACGTCACACATCTAGATTTCACCAATAACATTGCAGGCAATTTTGCTTTGCAGAGATGATTTTTAAAAGGTCATCGTCTTAAGCAGGTCCAGCTGCCCAGCGGAAATTGAGTTGCTGATTTTAAGTGTGCACAGGGTGCTTAAAACGCTTTAAGACATAAACAGTTTTAGAAATGAAAAAACTTAGACTGACACAAAGCCAACCTTATAAAGCTGTCAGTCTGGTTTAAAGGCAAAAAAATTCAAAACAAGCAATATTTGCAGTTTTACACTGAGGGGTTGATTCAAAAGCTAATCTTAAAGTTAAAACCATGGTGGGTATGCTTTTTTGAAATAAGCAATTAGGAGTGCCTGCCATAGGTCTTTAGACAGCTTGTTTACAAAAAGTTAGAAAGAAGTTATATTTGAGAGAATACCACAACCTTTTAAACATTTATGTCGACGTTCACCCACAATATGAATGTATTGGAAGCATACACAAGTACAGAATGTACAAGCGATCAGCTGGTTTTGCTTAGATAGAAAACTTTAATGCAATATGCTCTACACGTGTCAGTTAAAACTAAATCAAGGAATAACATACCAAATTATCCTATCCTACATTAAATCCGGAGATAAATGCAGAAAATTTGATTGGAAAACAGTTAAGTGTTTTTATTTAATCTGCCTTATCTATTTTTATGCCAGTTGAAGCATGTTTCATTCCATTTTATCTTTATTTGACGGAATAATGCAAACTAACGTAGTGAAAAAAGTCACTTAAATACTCCACATAAATTTTGAATTTTGTGGTGTTCAAGTTACTTTAGCAGCAACCCTGGTTGGGCTATTATGTACAATAGAATTTACAAACACAACTTCATGTTCAAAGAATTAAAAAAGGATAAAAATGTAGAACATAAATCTCATATTGTATGACTATTACTTACTTAAAAAAAATTTAAACTGAGTACAATTTGGATTGGTCAATAACTAGTTTTTTGTTTGGTAACAAACATTTTAAAATCAGCCACCGTTTTGACATCAGATGGTAATGAGCTCTAGAGTCTTTAACAGCGAAGGCCGTCTGTCCAAAACGTATTTTAAAGTCATGGTTTGAGCAACTTCTAGTAACCTGGAGGATGCTTTGTCTCTAAACAAATGTACTTATGTTTATGCATTTAGCAGAATCTTTTATCTAAAGCGCCTTACAAAGTAAACGCAATGTTACAGTTATCAACAATATGACAATAACTTCTCGAGAGGAAAATTCCTGGTCAGAATCAGTGGTGACAGGAAAGAGATAGAGGGAAGTACAGAAAGAGTGGTAGAGGGTTACAGAGGTATGGGTTAGAAACGTACCCACTTAGTGGCTCAGGTGTTGAATCATTAATTAATTTCTCAATCAATTTAAGGAAAGAAAGATTAGTAAAACTATAAAAAATACTCATAGTTTTTTATTTTTCAAGGATGGTACAGTGGTGATACCATATTGGCTTTTTATCCATGGCTTTCTTCATTTATTTACTTCAACTCTTTCAGAATCTGCTCAATATTTAAAAAACAAAACAAAAAGAACAAACTGTGGTGGTAGTTTGATGGTCTGTGACTGCTCTTAATTAAAAACCTGGAAAAAGTGCTGTAATTGCATAAAGAGAGGGATGGATGGTCCTGCGAGTCGTTAGTTTGATCTTAAGCAGTCAGGTATGCAAGGTCACCTTGAATTAATTAGCAAGATTATCGGTCAAAACAATTTGGTAAAAAAAAAAATCTCGTTTCAATGCAAAGGATTTGCCAAGACAGAAACTCAACGCTCACTGAGGCTTATTTTTAAAGATAAAAAACACATTAGGATGAATCCATAAAAAATACACACGGCAACATACAACATTGTAGAATTTAATTGAATTAAGAATGTCTAAACTTTAAAAAAGTTTTTTTTTAAGTCTAACAAACCAACCAGCTGGACAAGTTCGTTTCATTTCTACCATAGGATAGCTGTTTGTTGAGAGCATTGTAAACAATGAATCAGAGCGGAATTTTATGGGAAGAGGACAACTAGGTTAAAGCCCAAAACCATGCTTTAGATGACTCTTAATGAGAGTTTGAGTTGGCACAGATTTATGGTAGCCATCCTCTGTTCTTCAGCTCATGCAGCAGCCTCTTTGGTCCTCTTGATCTTCCTCCAGGCTCGGTACAGTTTAATGCTAAGACTCGGCAGGTCATACAGCTCCTCGAGGTTGAACCGCTGCTGGAAGCGATCCACAAAGCTGTTCTCAGGGTCCAGCCTGAAACGCATGGCCCAAAGTATCTGAGTGCTGTCTTGACAAAGGTAGTCGAACGTGTCCATGAGCTCATCCAGGTAAGGGTGCGCGTAAACCACGTCAGCTGCCAGAATGTAGTCAAAACAATGTGTTGCACGCGGGAAACGTTCAGCCACATTCTGACCCCAGATGAGCTCGGTGACCTGGAGAGAGAGGTTACACTGGTCGATTAGGAAGGCAGTAAACAACTTATGGGTCTTCAGCTCAAATTACATTCTTTGGAGATATGTTGAAATGTATTTGCCGTTAAAGAGTGAGAGATCGTGCCAATTAAAGACATCAAGAAAAACAAAAATGTTTCTACTTTGAAAACATAAAATATCTGTTAATTTTATGGGATTTTACATTGCTCTGTTTTTCCTAAACCCAGTTAATTAACCTTGAGTTATTCAACTTATTTAAATTAAGACTTTCTTCCACACAAAACATACCAGAGGGATATATTTGCATCTGCCCTTTGTATTGCGTGTTACATTGTACTGGAGATTACCCAGAACATCTGGCAGGTCCGTGGATGTCACTTTAGCACCTGAGAGAAAACAAGAAGTGCCAGGAAAAATAAAATACTCCCAATTAAACTTCACAAACGTATGATTATATGCCTGAAAATCACAGGATCTATATGCATGTACCTAACAGACTGGATACAATGGTGACAAGCCCAGTTCCGGCTCCCAGTTCAATCACATTTTTATGCTCCAAGTTGTATTTGTCCTGGTTGGTTTCCAGGAAGTGGCACAGCACCATTGCCTGTTGGAGAATGATCAGAAAAAATATGGGACACAGACTAAAGGAATAAAGTCCTGGATCATGATTTATTTTTTTTAAATGGATGAGTCTAAAATTTAAATAAACAGAGGACATGTTTGATTTAAACAAAACGCAGCACTGCAGGATGCAAACTGTGAAGCATGGAGGAGGTCATTTCATGGTAAGGGGATTCTTTGCTGCAGTATGAGCCAGCCAAATCAATGCCTCAGATCATCTCTAAAATGAATACAGAGAAACTGGACCCTACAACCTGACCAAATCATACAAGCTAATCCACCAAGAGCTGGCAGAAACTAAGAAATGGCAACAGGTGGACTAGCTGCTTGGCAGTATGATGCACAACGCTTTTCTCCACACTATATTTTATGATTAGCTTTGATTGAATCATTTTCCGTTTAGGAGAAAAAAAATAATACTAATTAATCATCAACATATGAACCTATCCTTTGGTAAAAAAAACAAAGTTTCTCATGGCGTCTCCTAATATTTCAGGTCACTAAACATAAGAACGCACCGAGGGCCAGAGGACAGCTCCATAGAGGTCTGTGGATTCTTTGATCCGTATCTCCAGATCAGAGAAGATGTATCCCTCCCACGTCTCAGGACCGATGGCTGACGGGTGGAAACGGCGAGACATGATGGCTTTAGCCAGCTCTGCATCAACGGGAATAACATCTAAAAAAAAACAAAAAAAAGAAGGATTTGCACTAAATCATTATTGTCATATAATAATGCTCCAGAGAGAAACAAAACTGAAAGCAAAGAGGTAAATCCTTATGCTAACGGTCAAACAAAGCAGGACATTTACAGTACAGATAATCACTTTAACAATGACTAAAATCTACTGAAGCCAGAATTTTCAAAAATAGTATAGATCTTCTGTAAAGCTTTTATTTCACACTTTAAAAAAAATGTATTCACAAAAAAACCTGTTTATTTACCAGTAAGTCTCTGGGAAGGACTTTTTACACATTCAGATCTGTTGCTTTGTGGTAAAGTCTTTTTTAGCCCAAACTGTGTAACATCCTGTTCAGCCGTCTCACACTCTTTATTTCCATCTGTTCTTGGAGATAAAGAACAGATGAAGTTTTCCTTATCTATGAATACATTCAACCTTTTCACATGTTTTCATATCCAAGGTTGGTGGATGAACTTTATGTCGGGCTATCAAATTAAAGGAGACTGGTTGAGAGTGAATGTATGTCATTTTTTACAATGCTGTTGAATAAAATGTTTGAAAGAAATACACCTATAAGTTTTTTTTATCTACTTGTGTCATCTGTAATAAAAAAAAAACAATAATACATTTATGTTTATTGTTAGAAGCAAACCAAATCTAAAAAAAAATCTATATTTAATTTTCGTAGCATTGTGTGATGCTCAAAGGATAAATCTTGTCCCCTCTAACATAAAGTAGTAACACCATACCAAAAACTATCTGATGGGAAGAATTCTCTGTATCATCTATGTTTTTCTCTTTCATATTTTACTGTGACTGTTACCCTTCAATAAGAATATTTAATCAAGAAAACTTATGTGTTTTTTATTTTCCTTCTCGATCACAGGTAAGGACTGTGAGTCACACTGGCTGCATGCAGGCGCTGACATGAGAGCATCCAAACCACAACTTTAGTTATGCAATGCTGGTTTAGATAAAAGGTCAGGAAAGCCCACTGTAACAATGCCAGGCTTGGGGACTGTTTTCATTGGCCGGATTTAAACCCTTTCAAGTCCCCACTTCTTGCTGTCATCAGTGATGACTGTGGAGAAGCCCAGCTGCAGCACAACAGCACCTCCAGAAAGAAATGGGATCTGCTTCTTAAAGCTACAGTATTAAAGTAGGAATCTATAGAGTTAATATATGAAAGGCTCTAAGTATAAATTGAAATTCTCACCGCCTTGTTTGGTGCTGGAGTCCTCTGCGACTTTAGGCTGCTGGGTGTCCGTGTCTGCAGGAGGAGAAGCATGGCTTAAACAGGACATGTTACTGCGTATGAGCCTTGCTGTCAAAGGTGAAGCTCTTTCAGATGTGGGTCACTGTGGATGCTGATCTCAGACGGGACGTTATTTCTAACCCTCTATGGTTTTAGGTTACACACAGTGTTTAAAAAGTTCTTGTCCAACAATCCCATGCCGAGCCTTGGATCCTGCACATATTTCTGTCTCCCTCCGGTCAAGCTTAATGCCCCCCTCTGAAGCAGGGCGTTGACTGACAACAGCAGCTGCCCTGCTGATGGACAGGAAAAACAGGGAGGAGGGGTTATTTACAGACTGAATGAAATATTGAACAAAATAATATCTCCAATTTTTATGGAACCACTGGTTAATTATGCTTAAACAATATGTTGTTTTTTTTTTGTTACACAAAGCGTATCTGATTGTCAAAGGGATAGAAATGATGAGGAAAAGGTATTAAGACACATTGGATGTGCAACTGTTCCTAATGTTGCAGAGTATGAAATGACCTGTGAGACATACTTAGGGAAAAGTTACAAAGTTTTAATGCAGACAGGCAATCTTCTTATACAGACATATCAGAGGAGGTAAAAAATATTCTCAGCATCTTCAGTGTTTATTAAAAAAACAACAAAAAACATACAACACATAATGCATATTACAGAAAACTTTCTGTTCAGAATTTATTTTTAAAACTTTCAAGCTAATTTCACATTTGATATCAAGAGTTTAGGCACATTTTAAAGCTTCTTTCCTCTTCCTCTGGTGCGTTTTCCTCCACGGCCTCGTCTGTTGCCGTCGAACACAGACCGGGCTGTAACCATGGTAACATCCCTGCCTTCGTCACTGTCCTCACCAGAGGAGCTGCTGCTGCTACTTTTCCTCCTGGGCTTCTGAGGTAGTTTTTTACTGGTCTGATGACCAGTTGCTATGAAGGATTCCTGTCCCGTACTGCAGACATCCCTAAGGGACGTAAGAGGAGATTCTGCTTTTGACTCTGGGACTAGGAAACCTCCCCCTGTCACATGGCCCTCATCTTCTTCCTGTCCATCTGAGGTCTTTAGTTCTTTCTCTCCTTTCTTGGATTTGGATGGGGAAGACATTTCTTCTTCTTCACTACTTTCTCCCTCCCCTCCTTCCCTCTCCTTTCTCTTCAGGCAGGTGACGGCTCGGCGGAGTCGCTGGCTGCGGATCGCCTGCTTCTCCTGTTGCTCCAAGCGGAAGAATGAGTCAATTCGGAGTTGAGTCTGCATTGAAAACAATAAGAGACAAAAGCAGGGCATTAACTTTAACCAAGATAAAAATACTGGAAATATCAGTGAATATATAAGCCAGTTTTATTAATCAAATGGTCTTTCTTATTATTATTATTTTTTTTTAAGTTATGGAAGTAGTCTTTTTTCTCTCCTATTTCAGCTTTTTATCAAAGTCCAGAGGTACAAAATAGCAGAATTGATGAATTCTAAATATTTTTTTATTTTTTATCCAAGAAGTACAAATGGATTTTTTTCCATACAATACCCACACATTTACAGTAAATGTATAATGCATTAAACAAATTTTGCTGAATGGAAAACAATAGTTGAGGGATGTTAAAACACAAATACTCAAACAAAAATTGTAAAGTATGAAAATAATATTTTTCTATGCAAAGAGAGGTTTATCTGATTCAATTTGAATAAATACAAACCAACCTTAAAAAAAATAACATTAAAAGACTGAAAAAAACCTGTTAACACTGCACTAAATTACAGCTTTTGAAAAATGTTTATTTCACTTTTTTCAACCTTCCTGCCACTTCAATCACTTTAAGCTTCTGTTTTAAGAGCAGATTCTGATCTACTCATTAGCAGAATGAATCCTAGCTAAGGACTCCAGCTTTACCAGAGAAACAATTTAACAAAATAGTTTTTTATCCAGCTAATTTTATAAAACATTTAAACAGTTTAATTATTTCGTTCTAGTTGTAATGTCAGAAGTTATAATACAGCTTTCTTAAAGTAGTTTTGTTTAGTTTCTTATGAAAAAAGTTAACTCAAATCTCACATTTGATACCCATATCCGCCACCTTTGTAGGGTCTCCTTCCTTCATCTTAAAAACATTGCCAAACTTCGTCTTTCCTTCTCCCAACTGGATTCTGAGAAGTTAATCCATGCTTTTATCCCCTCTAGGTTGGATTACTGCATTGCCCTCCTCGTCAGGATCACTGGCAGGAGCCTGCAAAAGGTCCTGACGAGGAGGCGTAAATACAATCATATCACTCCGGTCTTGAATTCACTCCACTGGCTGCCTGCTCAACACAGAATCCATTACAAAATCTGTCTCCTCACCCATCAGTGCGTACATGGAACTGCCCCTGCCTACCTCAGTGATCTCCTTAAAGCACACATCAACCCATGAAGCCTCTGCTCCTCCAACTCTGCCTACTGCCTGCACAGAGACTCTGAGGGCCCCACAATCTGTGGAGGTGTTCAAAAAGCAGCTGAAAACATTACTCTTTTCAAACGGTGCTTAATACTTATAGTTTTCAATTTAATTTTATGGTGTTATTTTTTATTATACTTTGTGAACTTTTTTAACCCCTTATTGTAGCACTTTTATTTTATTTTGAAATGTAAAATGAATTATAAATAGAATGTATTATTATAATATTATTATCATTATTCATTTCTTATGAGGTTTGATGTAATCTCACTTGAGCGGCTATAGTCATGCTACCAAGGTACGATAAACCAATTAGATATGACTGTACCGCCATCAGAGCTGCTGACCACTCTCTGTTACCTGCTGGGAGTTGAGCTGTTTGATCACAGGTTGCAGCGTCTCCTCCGTCTTCCTGCTGCTCCAGCCAAAACGACTCAGACAGAATCTAAGCAACTGGTCAAGGAAACTGTTACATTTATAAAAACACAAAAAGGAACAGAAATACATAGAGGAGCAGCAGTTGGAGCTTAGTATTCAGGTCATATTCTAATCTATGGTAAACATTAAATATAAAACAACAAATGAAAATGTAAATAAGTAAGAATTTTGACAATTCAGATTTTGAGGTGGTAGCTTACTAAATACATTTTCTGATCCAACTCTTACACAAACAGAGAATGGAGGATATTCTTTGATCATGTCAAGCTGTGGGCGCCCCCAACTGAAGGAGGCCTCTGATTGGTCAACAGCAGGCTGAAGGTAAGCCTGAGCCACCGCCGGGTTGGGGAAACCAGGATTGAGTTTCAGTTCCCTCAGTTTCTTCTTCACTTTCGTGTCTCTGGGATCATCTGACAGACGCTTTTTCTCCTGAGCCTCAGACCACCAATTTCTGCAGGGATTTAAATAATTTCAATATTTTTTCATTAATTAACACGGGCAGAGCTATATTTTGGTTAGTCTTAACTGCTGAGTGGGATACAAAAAACAAAAACAAACCTGAGCTGCATGAGCGGCTCCAATCCTGGCCCTGGAAACTCATTCAGTATCTCCATGCCAGTCACATACCCAACACCTGGCACGCCCTCTGTGTAGTCGCTTCCAAGCAGGTAAGCCAGATTGATCATTTTTGTCCTGTCCAGACCTGAGAGAAAAGCTAATCTATTAAGATTAACTCCTTTACCAAAACAAAACCTTCACCCAGTAGGTACAATGTCTTCTCTGCTGCATGTTTACCAATTCTCTACCTGAACTGAGACCACTGACCTAACTGAGTCTGGAGATCACTGTACTGGTAGTGCTCGACATATTTGTTCTGGCTGAAGAAGTTTTTGTAAACGTGTCGTCCTCCGAACAGCCAAACGTCAGAGTCGTCTGTGATGGTCCCATGCGTCTGGTCGGCGCGGTCCAGGGCTGCACACTGAGCCTCTGCCTCCATCGGAGCCACCAGAAACGGCACGCCGAACAGTCGCAGCAGCTCCTTGATTTAAAGACAGACATGAGTTTATAGGGGCAAATACTTCTATGACTAATAGAAACTGGGTGTTATCTAACGACAACATTCACTGCATTAACAAATTAGATAGGTGAGGTAAAATTCAAATAAAAACATTAAATTTACCTGAAATGCAGGGATTACCATTTAACATTTAGATCAAATAGTTTATGTTTTCGTTGGCATATATTAATAAATTACAAAAAAATAATGCTTTACCATGTAAGAAATTGTAGCTTCTTTCCGCAATTATCTTCAAATATGAATGAAAAAATATGAATAAAATAAAAAACTTAAATAACACATATACATCTACATATATATATATCTATATACCAACATACATATCTCTGTCCGCCTGTCTATCTATATATCTCCATTTATTTATTTTCCATCTTGTGACAGTTTTTTTTTTTTTATGGTCATCTGATCTGTTAATGTTGCTGTCACTATTGATCCAAACCCTTCAGGGTGTGCTCTTAACATTACAGCATGTTTTTCCCCTGGGGAAAATATTCTTATTTCTGTTGTCATGTGAGAAATCCCTGCACTCTTAGCAGCTCATTATCCAAACAGCTGAAAAGATTAATGCAGATCCAGCACTCTGACAGGGAAACACTAGCGCTGATTTTATGATCTAGAACATACAGGCAACTGCTGATCGTACATACAGATACAAGCGTTCTGCTACGCAGAGCAAACACCGCACACACAAATCAGGCTGCATATTTTGGCAAATGCAGCACAGAGGAATAAACTCTCCCCCCAGAGGTCCTGCACCTGCTGCAATTTATCAGATGTCCTCAGCTTTAAAAAAGAAAAAAACATCCATGTTCTTTTCAGATCACTGAAGGCAGATTTTCTCCTCTCCGATCCAATTCTACATCTGGTTTAGCTCACCTGGCTTTCCAGGTACATCTGCCCCGTCACTGTGTTCGCCATTCGCTCCTGCTGCTGTTTTTGCTCCCGCAGGTTGCTCTGCTCCAGCTGCAGGGAGCTCTCCAGAGCCCCCAGCTCCTCCTGAAGAACAACAAAAACAAAAAACACAACACGACTTATAGATGGGTGCCTTCACTTAAAATTAAAGGGTCATGACGTCCCTTAAAGGTATAGTGGATGATGTCCTTTTTCCGGGTGGATCATCAAAATAAGTGGTCCTCCTAAGCGTCAATCAGTCTGGTGATATGTTTACGTAAGGCCTTCCTACGTGCTTGTCCCCATTTTCACTTACCGGTGTTGAGTCTGACATAGAGGAAAAATTGAAAATCTTTTGGACAGTAAGCTTGTATGAGTGATGCAAACAGCAACTTTTAAACAGAGCGTGC